TTCCCCATTTCCAGCGGCACGTTACTAGGTTTCAGAAGCAAAGTTAGAAACCAGAACAGGGGAACGTTTTGGGCTGAGGTTACGGAGTGTGGCTTGAGCAAAGTTGGAGGCAGAGTCCTTGGCTGCTTTGCAGACCACTCACTCCGCGCGAGGTCCCCGGACTCTGTGCTGCCACAAGGCAAAAGCCAATATTTTTAGCCAGTGGCTTCTGGCTTTCAGTTTGTGGCCAGTAAATTATTAAAACAACGTCCTCTGCTGCTGCTGCTGGGGTTTTGCAAGTGTTTTAATATTCATTGCTGCACCTGGTAGTTGAAATAAAGGGGGCTTATTTGGGAATGGCAAAAGTAAAACCAGCGCCTTCATTCATAACACACGGGATCCATCTGAGCACATCTCTTTGTTCACTTGGTGGCCAGCCTTTTTCTCTGTTTTTCCCCCCACACGCTCCTTTTCGCAGTGCAGAAACAACATAAACCCAATGACTTCTTTCAGCGTGGTACGCGGCGCTGTCAGCCTGGTTTGGGCTGCAGGAGCTTTGCTGTTGGACTTGATGCAAGAGGCAGGACGAGCAGGTATTTTCAGATGCCGGCTTGAGCTGGCAGTGCTGACATGTTGAAAAATGAATTTTAGGGTTGTAAGCTAAGCACATTTTGAGCCGGGAGCATCACAGAGAACATCTGCCTGGTCATTTTAATCATGCCCCTGTTTTGCACTCGAAGCACGCTTCGTGGTTCAAGTGCAGCAAAGGCTGATGCTTTACACGTTAAATCAAACGATTTCATACATGATTCCCACAGGAATATAAAGCACTGATGATGGCCACCTCCACCAAAGAACGTGGTGACACTGCTAAAATACTATGTATTGGCCCCAAGGCATGCTGAGTTCTGGAGTATCAAATTCAGATGTTTCTTTTGACAAGAAAGCGAGGAAAACGATCAAACAGAGCGAGGGCTGTACCCACACCGGCATAAGCGACAGCTGCCACACACCTCCCCACTTCACTGACAACTCATCAAACCTTTTCTATTTTATACAGGTCACGGGTCAATTAACGACGCGCGCTGTCTGCACCACAAGCCCTGCACAGCGCCGGAGCCTTTCTATCGGGAACGGAAACAGACCGCGGTGCGAAGCAGCCCACTGACAAACCCCATCGCCCGCCACGCAGAGAGAGAAAAAAGCGCATCACTCACCAGATCGGCTTCGCACTCTCTCTTGCAAGTGCTCTGGGCGTCTACCCACAGGTTGGGGTTCATGTCATTGGGGCATATCCCAGCGTGGGAGTACCGGATCGGAGGTAGAGCTCTCCCTTTCAGAGAGACCTCCAGAAGCAAGAGGACACTGCTCTTCCCCAGCAAGATCCACATCCACCGAGTGAACAGCACCAACAACATCTCAGAACTTCTCCAGGGCAATGGCAGTGACCGAGCCGGAGGTAGTTCTTGTTTTCCTTGGGGTTGCCTTTTTTTTTTTTTTTTTGGTAAGCCTTAAATTCTCGAGGAACCCAAATGCACCTGACTTCTGGTTAAAACTTCAGCAAGCTCCTTTGCTGCCTCTGTCAATAGTGCAATTTGGTCTGGACCTCATTGGATGAAAGGTCCTAGGAAGTTACCCCCTTATTTTAAGAGAAATGCTAATAGTCTGAGCAGAGTTAGCTCTATTTATACCCTGCCTCTGTTAACAAGTCAGAAAAAGTAAACTTGATTTCTTTGACAGGCACACGCTTCCTATGTCCTGGTGGCAGTCAGACAGATTTGTTGCAAGAAAAAAAAGCTGGAAAGAGTTTAAAAGGCTGGAACTGGCACGGTGGGACCCCTGCATGTTTCTGAATGCAGGGAGGCCTTCTTAACCCCTTTAGACCTAAAGTACTTCCCTATGCTAAGAATGGCATTTACTTCTGAAAGAGTACTTGTCTAAATAACACGGACCCGCGGTCAGGGGATTTCCCCACGGCAAGGGGCTACACAATCACTCGCTAAAAGGAACAAGTAATAGGATTGAAGCAATTAAAGCTCCAATATCATATTTTAACAAAGGAAGTAGGGAAGAAATAACTTATTTAAACCTAGGATCGACAAAGCAGTATGTCTTCATAACTTCTCCCGGGGTTCCTCTGGGCTTTTTTCTTCTCTTTGGTGGGGAGATTTCCAGGCTGATGCGTTTAATGCTGCCCTCCCACCCCACCAGCAAGATGTTAAAAGTGTCCCTGAATTCCTCCACATTTCCTGACAGCCAGATCCCATTGTACAGTGCATTGCTGACCCCTTTAACAGCGACAACAAAAAAATAGTAGAAGTCCAACTCTATGGAAACCTGCATAAAGGAATGTACAGCATTTTTGCATTGGGGGGCGGGGGGGAAATTCGGTCAAGCTGAGTTCCTCTTCTTTCCCTGATTATTACAGCAAGGAGCTGATCCTGCTCATGCTGAACACATGCCAAAATCCGGAGACAAGTGGCAGAAGTCAGAGTTGCTCAGCACCTTCCAGGATTAGAGCCTTTGGGCCGAGCTCCGGGCTAGCTCGGATGGATCCTGCGCGGTGCTCAGAGCCTCCCGGGAGGACACGGCTGTGGCTCTGCCCGCTGCCCGGCGCCGAGCGCCGCAAAGCCGACACACCCGGGCGCAATCTACCCTTACTTCGGTAAAGTTTTTCTGTTGGGTTTATTTATCCAGGGTTGTTTTTCATGGCTGAGTTTGGGCCTAATTCTCCTCTGAGTGAGCATGGCCGCCAACCAGTACAACCAGCAGCAAACTGGGCCACCACACAGGCTATGCCCCAGGCCATGGGGGCTCCTGCTCCTCCCCTGGGGCAACGCAGCGCGGTGACCTGCTGGTGTTTCCCAAGGATCGCCTCCAAAAGGAAGGGCGAGCAACCTGGAGCCGATCTGCCCTCGGCTGTGGCATTTCTGTGGCAACCCAGGCTTATAGAAGAGGCTCTGGCAGTTTTGATTTGTGTGACCGCATTAACGATATGCACAGTATTTGAATTTCATGTGACGTGCAGAGAGAAGTTTTCCAAATTAGCTGTTTATAAGGAGCGAAGTCAACCGCCAGGCAGCACTTTGCAGTTGATTTATTCTCTCTGAAACTTTAGAAACCTGCATGACACTTGTACAAAGTGTGGCTGTGCGCAAAATGTTTTATTCAATACTTGTTTACAAAGACAAACGCAGCACCCTGTGATGCCTAAAAAAGCCAACCAAAAATGACACATTCCCAAGAGGTACTTAAAATTCTTACAGCTCTATTAACAACAAAATCACATGTATTAGTGGTTCTGTTGACTAAACAAAGACACTTTATATTGTAAAACTGACTACAGATAAGCTTTGAAAGCAGCTGTATGTGGGGCTCGAAGAGTGCGGGTGTCCCGGGCGCTGGAGGAGCCGCTGTGATGAGTGTGGGGGTGTCACCTCGACAGCTGCAGTATGAGCAGGGAATTTGCCATCCGTCCACGGGGTTGCCACCATGTAGCCGTGGATAAGCCATATTTCCCTGCCAGCCTGTGTGGTTTTGGGCTGTTTTACCCCCTCACCCGCTGGGCCAGAAGTGGGAGCTGGTAGGTCCATGGTGCTCTTGCAGCCTCCGTCTCCTCTCCTGGTGCCAGCAAGTCACCTCCTTGCATGCTTTGGCCATGCCGAGTGAGAGACCCACCAGTGTGGACCCACCCCAGGTGGGACTTCCTTCCAAGGAGGAAGGAATAACACTATTTTGGGTTTTTTTCACCCTCCCAGACCAAGGATCCCCTTTGCCCAGAGGCCCTTTTCAGCTGCAGGGGAGCAGAGTGGGGCTCTGAAGAATCAGACTCTGGTTTGCATCAGACAGACGGAGCAGCCTTCTGCTTTGCGATGTCCTTCTCCATCCAGAAGGATATTCTCCAGGGACAGGTAAGTCTGACGGCGGCTTTCTGCTTTCGGCACCCCAATACCATGTTCCTTGCGTGATGGCCAGGACGGTGGAGCCCGAGGGGTGACAGGTTAATGAGCGGAGCTGAAGGAGCCGCGGCACGGGGCACACAACCCCGCTGATGCGATCGTGTCCCTATTGCAGGTCAGTGGGGTCGTTCCGGGAAAGGCCATTTGACTGTCTGGATTTGATGTATTTTCACCCCACAGGTGGGGTCAGTGCTTGGCACAGTGGAGAGGGGCAGGGACATCCCACAGGAGCTCGGGAAAGAGGACAAAGCAATTATTGCTAATGACAATGACAGTTTTGTTGGGCCACTGTCCTAACATTATAAATGAGGCGCAGGAAACTCGTGTTAACTGAGGAATCATGCTTCCAGCAAAACTTTTGCATAGGAATTCTCTTAGGGAATAAAATCCTGGCTTAATCCAATGGAAACCGGACAGACGCTCTGACTCCCATCGCTCCAGGAACAAGGGAGTGCTCAGCCCCGTGAAGGATCAGTCCCTTGGCCACTTGAACACAGCCGGGAGAGAGAGAAAAACAGTGCCATAAATATCCCTGTGAATGCGGGCAGGCAGCTCCTGAGGTCAGAGGAGGCAGTGAGGACTCTGAATAACCCTCAAGAGCTGCCCTGTCCCTGCCAGGACATCCCAGACTTGCTGTTACCCAACCGGAGGAGCATATCCAGGAGAGGACACCACTATGCAGGCTTCCCCCGGGGCCAGCAGGGACCCTGGTTGTCCCAACACAGACAGCCAAGCTCTGCCTACTGCATTCAATATCTCCTGGGTTTCATTGAGGGCTGTTTTCTCCCCTGGTTTAAATTAGTTTAACTCCACTGACCTCAATGGATCTCACTGGCTACTCCAGAACAACACCAGCTAATGCCAGCTGTGAACTGGGGTCTTTGTCAAGGTCCCTGGGCATAGTTTTTCTGTTCTTTCTTGTTTATAGACCATCGTGCATTTTTTTCTTTAAGATAAGAAATAGAAAAATCCATATTCTCCATTTCTGTGAACAAATCTTTTATGAATGCCAAATTTATGGCTTATCTTGTCTCATCCATGTCAGATACTGATGTGATAAAGATCCTCCCAAATGAGTTCAAGCTTTAGAAGAAACCCCACTTCCCCCAAAATCACCCTTTCTGATTGTGGTATTGATCTGTGTCTGTTGGATGGGGAGCTGTGATGAGCTTTCTCTGGATTGCAGAGGGACAAACCTGAGCCCTGATGGCACAAAGCAACATCCCGACTCTGCTCCCAGCAGTGGGGACACGCGGCCTCTGGCCAGCCTGTGCTCTACAGATATCCGTCCGAGACTACGCCACCATCCCGAAAAGCCCTCCTAGGATGCCCAGGGTCGTGGTAAGGGCTGTTGATCTAGAATTGGATTAACCATTGCTTTTTTCATTAGTGATAATTTCTTTGCCCTTTTTCTTACTCTTCCCAAGCTCCTGTGGGATGTCCCTGCCCTTCTCTGCTGCCCCAAGTGTTGACCCAGGGTTTGGTGTGATCCCCTCTTAATCGAGGAGGGAAATGGGATGCACTGCTGCACAGGAAAGTGTAACTGTGTTGGGTTTTTTTTTCTTAAACCACTGCTAAAGGAACAGCAAACTGTTGGTCGTATTTATCAGGCAAAACTGAGCGATCCTCATCTGGAGTTACTCAGCGGACGGCGGATCGATTTGCTGGTTTTACTGTGGAAGGGCTCTTGGCAGGAACCGTCACCCCGCAATGTTAAACCTCCCATCGCCCATTGATCTCTGCCTCAGCAAAGGGGCCCTTCCAGATTCGGCCTCTCGTGCTGTCTGGGCCTGCCGCCACTTGCCGCCGGTTCTGCCAACACAAACACAAACCACCCCCTCTCCAGGCACGGCTCTGATTCATGGCTGCCGGCTGGTAGCTCGCTCCTTGCGGCATCCAGGGCGCTAACGCCGGGGCTCGCGGCTGGAGCGGGCACTCCTCTGTGTGGGGGTGCAACGGGTGCCCGCGGCACCCACCGCAGGGAGAGGCAAACCCCGGGGGTTGCAGGTGGGACCTGCATCCCCCCGCTGGACTTCTTCTGCCTTTAAGCTTAGCTTAAGGTCCTTGAGGCCTCCTCCTCCTCCAGGCAGGGCAGCAGGATGGGGACTAACTCCCCGCACCGCCGGGGCCGGTGACCTGCCGCTTCCTCCGAACAGGGCACCAGGACCTGCCCTGCGCAGGGACCCTGCCCACGCCGGCAGCCCCGGGGACACGCTCTTCTTCAGCCCCACTATCATCATTCACACCCCTCAGGTGGTTTCTTCTCCGTGCACAGATGCAAACATAATGCCTGACCAGAAAAGCACTTTTTAAAAAAACCTGTCTTATTTAGAAGGTAACGATGTTCCAGTCTGTATGTAAAGCTTATTGCACTTGAAGCTGATAGCCAGTCAGGAGAGGGACCACCACTGCCAGATCCCCGAGCACAGCTGCCAACCGCTCTCCTCAAGCAGTAACGTTGCTTCCAAACCCACACAGAAATGTAGCTTATGCCTTGGGACCTCGGCTTTAGCTTGCTTCGGGCTGCAAAGGGCCACGTCTTCCTCTTCTAGCAATGCCCCGCTCCCACAAACCCCGGCAGGACCTGCTCGGCGGATGGCCAGCAAGCCCAGCCTGGGCGCCTTTCCACGTCTCTCAGAAGAGCGCACATCTCATGCTGGCCATGGGGTTGGCCGAGGGAGCAGGATTTTCGGCACCGTCTCATGCGCTGCCAAACATCAAAGCAGAGGCAAAGGCTGCTGTGCTGGGCATGTGCTTTGGAAGGACGTGCAAACGAGCAGGGGCACATT